AAAACAGATGAGAGAGACCCATATTCCCCTGAGAGACTCCCTAAGGGACTCCTTAGGGAGCGGTATCGGGCTGCTTCATGGCTCTGCCTCGCCCCTGGAAAGGCCATCAGAACAGCGTGGAGGCCTTCCCCATCAGGCCTCTTGAGCAGCTCTGAGCCATTTGATGGCTCTGCTTAAGAAGGGTGGAGCCACTTTGGAAACATACCTTTCATATTTACCCCAATAGAAAATCTCTGGTACTTTGTTTAAGGCAGTAGAGATGGAATAAAATCCTAAGAATGACTCATGGTCACTTGAGTGAAGCTTTACTGGCTGTTGTTTATGTTGCTCAGGCTGTCAAGTGTGTGTTTTCTGAATTACATACATTTTGTTAGAGGGAACAAGGAAGGGAAACAAACGTGGTGGAATACCACGTGGCTGATCCAGAAGGGGCGGCCAGGCATGCGACAAGGCAAGATGGCGGCCAGGCATGTAATGGGAATAGATGGTGACTCTGACAGAGATGGCACCCTGGGGAAGAAATGGCCACCTAGGAAAAACACGCAGAACAAAGAACAAAAAGAAGTAAAGTGATTTAGGTGGCTACTCAGGCAGGCTACCAAGTTACCAACAGCTATTTTCCCCCAAGAGTGTGAAAAAGCTGAGTAAAGTACCATGGAGATCCGAACCATCAGGGTCAAAAAGCATGCTAAACTCTAGGTCACACACAGGGTACCTAAATAGTCTGTCCTGCAGCTGGGTGAGTAATGGCTTTCTGGCTGTTCTTACTGACTTGTATCCGCAACGAGTGACCAAAAAGGGGAAAGAGAAGAAAAGGAGAGAGAAAGTTTAAGAAGGCCTGTAGGCCTCCTAAGGCTCGAAGAAAAACACAGAGGCCTTGCATTCCCCTCTCCACCTCCACACACACATGGTGAGAAAAGCAGGGAACAGTTCCCAGTGCCACGTGAAGTCTCCTGAGTTCCCCAGCCCCGGGGACAGAGACAGAGGAAAAAGAACAAAACCAAACCGAAACCCTACATGGCATTTGAGAGAGAAACAAACAAATGTGCCCTCACACCCTTACCTGCTCTCCTGCCTGGCTAAGCCAAACATGTTGTGGATTTCAAGGTGCTGGAGTCTTCTTTTGGAGGTGGTTTCTAGGTTCTTTCTGTTCTAAGCAAAGAATTGGTCAAGACAAGGACAAGTGATAGAAAGGTTTTACTAAAGGCAGGAGAAGAAACAGGCTCTGCAGAAAGAGTTTGGGCAAGTAAAAGTAGGAGAAGTGCACCCTGCAGCATGAGGGCGCTCACCGTGAAGACCGTGGCTGCGGATTGTTTTAAATCCAGTCTTCCAGTTTGTGTCGATTTTTATTTTAAAGTACTACAAGTAGATATTCATAAAGAAAATATAAAAAGCAGTCTTCCCAATTCTACAAGAAAATAAAACAAGATTTTGTCACAGAATAATTAGGGAATAGCAATAGTTCATACACTGTGTATCATGATCTTAAAAGAATAGCCAGAATGTTACTTAGAGTACGTCTTAGACACAAAAGAGTCTCTCCTACAAAGAAGAAACAAACGTGAACACAGAGAAGCTAGTGGCATAAGTGAAACAAATGAACATACGTCTTAAAATACAGAATAGATAATGTGGGGAATTACTTGAGCTTCCCCCTACTTCCCCTCCCCTCCCCGCCCCTCCCCTCCCCTCCTCCCTCTCAATTTTTGGCTTTCTCTTATAAGAGAAACCATGCTGTATTTAACCTTGCGTGAGAGCTCTCCACTGGTTTTCTGAACGTGCCAGTATCTGGATTGCCCGGGAAAAGGGTCATAAACAATACTGTGGCTCATTCCCAAAGAACCGGGCCCTGGGCCAAAGAAGCAGCAAACCTCCATGGCAGAAAACAAAGAAATGGAAACGTGAGAAAACAAGGCCACAAAATGCCTCCCCAGGCGCCCACTCCCTCAAAGCCAATCCAATCCGCGTCTTTTAATTGGAGAATTAGGCTGTTTACATTCAGTGTTATTATGGAAAAGTAATTACCTATCATTTAGTTATAAAAGTAATTAGCTATCGTGTTACCTATCATTGTGTTGTTTTCCTAATGTTCGATTTATTTTTTTTTTTCCTCACCGCTTATCTCTCCTTCCTCTTCTGTGGGTAGGATTCCTTGAAGTGTCTCCTGCAGGGCTGGCTCAGCAAGATGCATTTTAGTTTTTGTTTATCTTGGAAGGCCTTTGTTTCTCCTTCAATTCTGAAGGGTATCTTTGTCAGATAACGTAACCTAGGTTGGCAGTTATCTTCTTTCGGGATTTGAAATACAGCCTTGCATGCCCTCCTGAGCCTGAAGGTTTCTGCAGAGAAGTTCGAAGTTATCCCAATGGCTCTCTCTCCTTATGGGACGTGGCATTTCTCCCTGTGCTCTTGAGTTTTCTTCCTTGTCCAGTGCTTTTGCCATTTTGATTACAACTTGATGTGTGCGTGGGGGTCTTCTCCTGCTGTACCTGACTGGTGCTGTAAATGCCTTCAGTGCAGGGTAGTCATATTGTTCTCAAGGCTTGGGAAATTTCTCGTGATTGCGTTAAATAGATTTTCTCTGCCATTCGTCTGAACTTTGGTTCCCTCTGCTACACCAACATTTTGTAGGTTTTTTTTTTTAAACTGCATCCCAGAGTTCTAGGATGTTTTGTCCATAATTTCTCTTTCTTGTTTTTTGTTTCCTTTTCTTAGTATCTGCGTGTAATAGTTCTTCAACTTTATCTTCAAGCTCTGAGATTCTGTCTTCTGCTTGGTCCTGTGTATTGGTGAGACGTTCCCCTGAGTTTTTGCTTTGTCTTGTGCTTTTCATTTTTCAGGATTTCTGTTGGTTCTTCTTCAGCATCTCTGCCTCTTTGTTAAGTTTCCTCCTTCATATCATACATTGTGTTCCTTATTTTATGCAGCTATTTATCTGTGTCTTATTTGAAGTTATATATCACGTTATATATCAGTTCTTTTGAATTCTTTGTCTGCCATTTCATCCACTTTCACATTTTTTGCATTCAGTTCCTAATGAATTATGGAAATTTGAAAGACTCCTGTGGCCTTGATTTTTCATATTTCTTGTGTTTCTATGATGTACAGTTATAAATGCTAAAATTGTAAAAGTGTATTCCGGTAAAAGACACACTGCCATTCGTCCACCTCAGAGTACTTCCCTTGCTTCAAACATACTTTTCCCATTGTTCCTACCGCTTTCTGAAGCAGTTCTGAAAGTCCTCTTAAATGAGTATCTTTAGTTGCACTGTTACGGCTGCCTCAGTGTCCTGAATTGATTCAGAATCTTTCGTAGTCATTTTGACTTTGGGGGAGACCCAGAAGTCACGCGATGCCAGACCTGGTGAGCTGCGTGGGTGAGGACACACTGGAGTGGTGGATGAGCTGCCTTTCCATTGGGTGGCGCTGGGCAGCACCATTCACCATAGTTCTGTCACACGGCATAAAGACACTCTGCAAAGACTTCTAGAACTGCCTCAGAAAGTGGC